AGCAAGGCCTGTTGTGACAGGACAAGGAGTAATGGATTTAATCTAAAGAAGGATGGATTTAGACTGGACATAAGGAAGAGATTCTTTACAGTGAGGGCGGTGAGGCACTGGCACAGGTTGCCCAGAGAGGCGGTGGAGGCACCATCCCCGGAAACATCCCAGGCCAGGTTGGACGGGGCTCTGAGCACCCTGGGCTGGTTAAAGCTGTCCCTGGCACTGCAGGGGTTGGGCTGGGGGAGCTCTAAAGGTCCCTTCCCACCCAAAGCATTCCATGATTCTATGATTCTCCATGGAACGAGCGGCAGCAGATCGGCAACGTCTCTGCAGAGCTATGCCTTCGTGCGGGGAAGGCTGCAGGGCTGGAGGGAAACAGAGGAGACGCCTCAAAACAGGCAGCAAGGAGGGGAGGGATTTGGACAGGAGGGCAAGTGGGGACCCCAGAGACACACTGGTCACAGCTACGGAGGAGCTTGGGGTGGCCTTTGGAACGTGCCACCGCTCCCCGTCGAGGTAAGTGGTCCTGCGGGGGTTGGATTGTTCCTGCTCACCTGGAGAGGGGCTGTCGGGTCCAGCCCACCTCACCGGGCTCTGCGTTGTGCAGACCCATGGCTCTTCCCCACGCTCCATCCGGTATAAAATGTCAGGTTTGGGGCCTGGGTAACCTGGGGGGTGGAGCAGAACGTGCTGTTCTAATACAAACTGTAAGAATAAATTGTTAACATGAGAAAATAAAGGTCTTCTCTGTGACACCCCAAGCTGCGCTTCACCGTGACCGGAAGAGCCCAAGCAGAAACACCACTGAAATGTGGAAAAAAGCAAGAGAGATATCGGAGATGCTGCCAGAGATTAATTTATTCACAAGGACAAGGACAGAGCCCTGATGGGAGTACGGGAACTGACTCCCAACTCTGCTGACAGGTTTTCCCAGCGAGGGATTATCTGCTGCTCATCCTAGGAGCAGCTCCTGGGCGTGGGACATCCTCCCAGGTGCCCGGCTCAGACCCTTTATGCGGGTAATCAGAGATCTCCATCCTGTCCTGGTGGCAGCAGGCAAGTTCTCCGAAGGGATCGTGCTGGTTTAGGGAACTCTGCTGTCCTCCGACACGTCCGCTCCCCCCGCGCCTTGCCTGGTACATGCTACCCCTGCCCCGCTGCAGCTTGAGCATGCAGGGGAGGGGACGGACTCATCGGCCCATGGCCAGGACCCCCCGAGCATCTCCCTGCCTGACCTCAGGGGAGGCAGCTCACCTGCGGTTACATTTTCAGAGGTGGCCATCAGCTCCAAGAGACCCAAATCCTGCGTTTTTCCAGCACTAAACTCCCCCAGGACTGCTGGGAGGAGTTATCCCAACCCCGTAGCCATAGTTCAAAACACGCTGATCAGCCCCTCAAAGTGCTGGAAGCAGCACAGTTCTGATGGATTCAACTATGACCTAAGCCCCCCCTGCCCCTGCTGTGCCCCTTGCCCCCGAGTTAAAACCGCAGGTTTACCCAGGGACGTCAAGAGCTCGTAGTTGTCCAGCGTGACGCTGCGGTACAGCTCCCTCTGCCCCTCCGCAATGGCGTCCCACTCTGCGCGGCTCAGGTAGACAGCGACGTCCTCAAAGGTCACCGGTTCCTGCCACACAAGGATTGATTGCACCCCCCTTCGCACAGGCAGGCCCGCAGCCACCGGGGAGAAGGGTTTTGTGTAAGTTTCATTTTCCAGGCGCTATTTCCGCCCCCGGGGAGAGCTACCAAAAGGTGAGATTTAGAATCACAGAATCATCGAATCGTTCAGGGTGGAAAAGACCTTTAAGATCATCCAGTCCAACCATTAGAGCGCCAAGGGACAGCGCTTCCCCAGGAAGCTGTGCGCCCTGTGCGGGGGGGAATTATAGAATGAATCATGGAATGGTTTGGGTTGGAAGGGCCCTTCAGAGCCCACCCAGCCCAGCCCCTGCAGTGCCAGGGACAGCTTTAA